AAAAAAAAAAAAAAAAAAAAAAACAACGAAAAAAGTTGTGCCACTTTTTTAATTCGGTATTAACTTGACAAAAAAAGAGAAAAATGTCTTTTACTAAAATTAAGAGTTTTTAATAAAAAAATAGAATATTAAAAAATATACAAAATAAAAGATTAAAAATTTTAAAAAGATCAAATATTAGATATAACTTAAGTGTCACTTAAAATACTTAAATTCATTTATTTATTAAGTTATTTAATTTTTCTTCGAATAACTTAATAAAAACTATTCTTCTTCAAATATCATTTATTTTGTTTTATTTTTTATTTATTAGCTTCTTTAAATTTGTCATTAGAGTTTAAGAATCGATAATAGTTTATTGTCATTTTGAAAATATAAAAATTTTAAATTGGAATAAGAAAACTATAGGTTTAGTAAAATTATTTAAATTTTACAATGCAGTGCAAATATGTATGTTTTATGTAATTTTATCAAATATTTATTTAGTATCTAATTTTAAAAACTTATAAGTGTTCTATTGCTTTCATTGTATCAATAATTATTCTTATTTTTCTTTCAGCATTTATATATAATTATTTTTGCTGGTCCTGAGTTTCCGATAAAATATCGGGAAAAATTCACTTAAAATAATTACATAGTGAGTAAACATACTCAACCTCACCTAACATACCCCCCCCCCCCATGACAACCTCTGCCCCTCCCTATCATTATTAACACCCCTCCCCCCTCCCATGACATCCCCTGCCCCCCTCCCTCTAGGAAAAGAAAAAATAGTGAAATTAAAAATATGCCTGACCCATTTTCGTATTATCTGTGTGAGCATTTTTGCACTTTTTTCCGTTCAATAAAAGAAATTATTTGATAATATAACATAAAAATAAAGTTTGTTTACTATATCCAGAACAATGGTTATAAACTGGTGTTGCCGCCATAGCTTTGCAACCACAAATTTCGTCCAATGTTATTTTTTCAAGAAAAAGAAAAAAATTACTATTTTATCTTTAAGAAGCTTTTGAAAAGGAATTTGAGTCTTTGTCACAAACTCTGATTTTCTGTCTCCTATATCTTTGCAACCCAACCTTAGATATTTCAAACTATGAATTCTGTAAGATCAATAAATCTAGGTTTGAAATATCAAAGGTTACACACTCAGGTTGCAAAAATATAGGGATTTAAATTTGAGTTTGTGACAAAAACGCATTACCTTTAAATACGAATATTACTTCAAGAATCAGTTGAATTTGACAATCTCTTTTTCATTACCGACCAAACTAAAAGAGATCATTTAAATTTTTTTTCGACAAAATAAAATGCGAATCGCCTACATGTGTCCATTTTTAAAACCTGAAAATATTTTTTTGTTAATTTTCTCATTTAACTGAAATCCTTCAGGAACGAACCGTAGGCCCATACGCCCCCTCCCCCACCACCACCACCACAACCACCTGTACCCTTCTCACCTTTGATTTCATTCATACCTTATAAACCTACCCTCCCCTTTGAATGACAACCTTTACACGATTAATGAGTTGGTTAAGTAATGGTGTTAAACTACTTCTGCCTTCTGTATACCTAGAATGCGACGTGATGGATTTAAACGATTTGTCAGGGGGTGACGGAGGGGGGGGGGGGGTGACGTGCCGAAATATGTCCTTCCCTGTTTGATAATGCTTCAACTCAAATAAATTAGTTGCTATTGTAGTTCTCTCGCATGAAGTTGGGATTCCCTGGATTCCAGACTTCTCATTGGTTGGTTTCAGATCAGCTCGGACTCTCATTGGTTCAACGTCCTGGTCTCATTTAACCATGAAAGTTACACAAACCGTTTCTCCTCAAGTCATTTAGAATAAAAAAAGTTTCTGGAATAAAATCCAATTAAAAGTTGCGAAATTTAGAATTGTGAAAGACAGCACGTAGCTAGAAACCCGACTATTCTTCTTATAAACCACTAAAACTTTTTTAAAAAGTCAACTAAAATTTCATCTTAGCTTAAGAATTTTCCAACAACTTGAGTAAAATATAAAAATAATGTTAAAACTTAAAAACGTTGAGCCCAGGGAATAGGGAATTGGGCCCTACAAACACCAATTTCTTCTTCTCTCAGTGAGATTGAAATTAATCGAAAATTTAAGATCAATTGATGAAAATTCTATTTCTTATTCATATTAAAGAATTTTATACTTCCGTCAAGAGATGAAGATAAAAAGCCTATCTATAGCCTAAAATGAATAAATATGTTACAAATGGAAAGAAGTGTAAGTATATTGTAGTTACATGTATCTTAATCCTTCAAGTATATTCCTAAATTGAAATTACAATAATATGACCAAACAAACACTGACAACCCCTTTTTATAATAATGTCAATTATTTTAAACAAAAAATAGACACATGTCTTTTATACTTGCTGACATTTGGACGCCTCATTAAAAATGTTATAGGTTTAATACTATTAAAATTACATAATACATTATGTAAAACTTATACATATGATATCATATTTTATATCAATAGTATGATAGTTAAGATTTATTACATGCATAAAAGGGTATAATGTAATATGATATGATATGATATAATATAATGTAATACAATATAATATGAATAGTAAAATAATATATATTTATATATATATGTCCTACTAAATACAGTCAATATATATATATATATATATATGTCCTATTAAAATACAGTATATATATATATATATGTCATATTAAAATACAGTAAACCCTAAACAGCGGTAAGATTGTAAAATAGTGACTGTCAAGTGGTTTAACGGCAGCATGAGTTGCTAGAAGTATATTTAATGTACACAACAAATATAAACAGTAGACAACCTTACTTTCCTTTACTTTCTTCCTTTTCTTCCTTTCTTCCTCACCCCACCCTCTCACATTCCTTTCTTTCCTTCCTTATCAATAAATTTTTCCTTCGCTTTCCTTTCTTTCTGGTTCTTTAACTGTCCGTTCTTCTTTTCCCTTCTCTTTCTTTCCTAAACAATATATCTTTCCATTTATTTCCACTAAATACCTTTCCTCCCTTCTCTCTTTCCCTAAATTCCTTCCCTCGCTTGCCTCCCTCTAAAAAACAATTACTTTCATTAAATTAAATTTCTAATTACATAATTTTTCATAACTTCATTTCCTATTCCTTTCCTTCCTAGATTTCTCTTCATCATATTTCCTTTCTATTCTGCCTTTCTGTTTGGTAGAAATCAAAACACAGTGTTCATGTGGACAACAGTTAACAGACAATTAATAATAGAAATAAAAGTTGATTTAAAGAAATTATATATTAGGAGAAAACGCTATCACTACTTTAACTATGGACTAGTTACCATAAAGACTATTAATAAAAATAGATATCTATAGTTGGTAGATCTACTGGCATATATATTTATAGAATAGCAAGTGGATAGATACAACTAGATAGATAAATAGATAAGAGGTGAATACCAGACAATGTAGGCAGTTTTAGATCATTAGAAATGTAGAATAGCAAACAGACAAACTAGCAGACATAAATTGAAACAGATAACAGCCGCAACACTAGACAGATAAACTAGCAAACACGCAACTTGACAGATAAACTAGTAGGCATACAACTAGACAGATAAACTAGCAAACACGCAACTTGACAGATAAACTAGTAGGCATACAACTAGACAGATATAATAACAGACGCAACACTAGACAGATAAACTAATAGACATACAACCAGACAAATAAACTAACAGACACACAACCAGACAGATAAACTAGCAGACACACAACTAAACAAATAAACTAACAGACAAACAACCAGACAGAAAAATACCCTGTCTGAACTTCTGAAGACAACCGCACAAGTCTACAGTCTACAGTTTGATAGATTGACAAATATATATTATTGTTATGGTATAAATTCCCTTCTCTTTACACTCATTAGTCTAACAGAATTCTACACAGTAGGGGGGAAAGGTTTAGGAGTAAAGGGGAGTAAGGGGATAGGTTTAGGAGTACAGGGGAGTAGGGGGATAGGTTTAGGAATACAGGGGAGTAGGGGGATAGGTTTAGAAGTAAAGGGGAGTAAGGGGATAGTTTTAGGAGTAAAGGGGAGTAAGGGGATAGGTTTAGGAGTACAGGGGAGTAGGGGGATAGGTTTAGGAGTAGAAGGGAGTAAGGGGATAGGTTTAGGAATTGAGGGGAGTAGGGGGGATAGATTTAGGAGTAGAGGGGAGTAGGGGGATAGGTTTAGGAGTAGAGGGGAGTAGGGGGATAGGTTTAGGAGTAGAGGGATAGGTTTAGAAGTAGAGGGGAGTAGGGGGATATGTTCATGAGGATAGGGGAGTAGGGGGATAGGTTTAGGAGTAGAAGGGAGTAGGGGGATATTCAGGGTTGAGGGGGTTTTAAGAAATTGACCAATTTTTCTCTTGTCGCAGGAAACTCCGCTCACAACACGTAGTTCCGGAGTAAACAATAGAGGACAAATCATAGAGATAACAGATATAGAGTAGTCAGGTAGATCATAGAGATAACAGATATAGAGTAGTCAGGTAGATCATAGAGATAACAGATATAGAGTAGATAGGTAGATCATAGAGATAATAGATTTAGAGTAGTCAGGGAGATCATAGAGATAAATTCTATATTTACTAAATGGATCATGAAAAAGCATATAATAAACTGGTCATATAATAAGTTAAAAAAGAAAAGGCAATAGAGTAGTCACAAAAGATGATCATGCAGGGCTGAAATTAAAAAAAAATTCGTAATAAAAAACAATTTTTATCTAAACCCCTTAAAATAGTGAAATAAGAAGATAACTGTGAGACTAAAGCTATAGATTAAAAAAGTCGGAACCTAAAACACCGCATTTATGCAGTTGACAATGTACAATACTGGTAAATTATTTGTTTTTTTTTAAGTGCACAGAGGACTGATTAAATGTCGTCTTCCTTTAATTCACAGTTCTATGGGTCTTTTTGTAGTGTGCAGAATCCAATATTGTAATTCCTACCTTTGTTTCATCTGAACTATTTCGTCCCTGTTTAATCCTCTCATTTTCAGCTGTCTAACCAGAGAAAAATTAAAATTTACTAAAAAAAATTTCGTGGATTTTTGGGCCCATTTTTTGTATATTTTTGTATAGGGTAAACTCACATAGCATTTGTTTTTAGTTTAAATAATTGTTTGATAGCGGACAGGACACCTTAACAATTATCTTACAAGTTTTTTCAATTCAAAACGACAGAAAGGAGAATATGCTTGCTATAATAAAGCTAGAATGATTACTAGAGAGAGGTCTAAAAATAGAAAATTTCCTAGAAACCGTTTTACAGTTTATATGATAAAAGCCTTAAAACCACCTTTTCTCAAATCTTGGCCTAAGTTTGCATTGTCATTCAATATTGCCAAAAATGACAAGACTTTTCGCACTTTTCCAGACGTCTTAGAATTCCCAAATATGCATATATTAAAAGTACAACTTTTAAGCCCTCTGATTTAACAGAACTTGTATAAGTTCGAAATCAAATATCAAAAGACTTTTACAGCGGGTTGCATAGATATAAGGATTAGAAAATTAAGAGTTTGTGGCAGAAAGTGAATTCCTCTCAAGTGGTGAATTCTATGCACTGCATGTACATTGTACAATTGTACACGAGAATGCTTCATATTTTAAATAGCTAATAAAAGTCTAAAAAGCAGCCGTCTGTATCCTTCCTTTAACATAAGAAATAACGTTAATAATTCTTTCAGTTTAAATCGAGGCAATATCTTGGGCAATCTTTTATAATAACAAAAGTTTAATGAAAATTTAAAAATTCTAGCTACATTTCTTCAACTTTTTTGGGACTTTTTACTGTACAAATATTGTTAATTTTTAATAAAATGCAACAAAAAAAAATTATTGTCAAAAACGAAGGGAGGAGGGTATCTCAGGGTGTCCCTTTCATCCTGAATGTTGAACATTTTTAAAACTTAAAAAATAAAAAATAAAATTATATTTTTTTACGCGCAACATTTGGAAAATTTTATATGTTATTTCAACTAAGGATTTATACTTCATCAATTACAAAGGTCATTTATTCCACGTTAATATCAATTTTTTTCATTTTTTCCTAAACTTTAAAGTAAATATGTTCAAATTATATTTTAATAATTTATCTTAAAATTTTCTTTTCTTTAATATATTCGACAGTTCGTTTCAAGAAGTATTCAAATAATTTAAGTAAGATCCTAAAACTTGATATGGTATAACCAGACAACTGTTGAAAAGGTTGACGACTTTAGAGCAATAATGTTGTGTATTGCACTCTGTTACAACCCAAATGGAGGTCTTATTGAAATCATAACTTGAGTCTTAAAGTCGGCTTACTATTCCAGAGTTTTCTGGTCCTCACCGTAGAAAAATGTCGCTAAAAATTTACTTTATCATTTGTTAAATAAAAATTTACCTGAATCATAGGTGGGCTAACAGGTCGGCTTCCTTTTCCTCAAAAAAATTAAAGATGAAAAAAACAAGAAAAAACGTTCGTCTGCTAACATTAAAATTCTTGATGATATAAATCCACAAAATCCAAATAAAATCTTGCAGACTTCATGAGAAGACTCCAGTGAGGAATAATTATTCAGTTTTTTCTCATTTATTCGATCAATGTTTCTTTCCTTGCAGTCATACACATGTTTGTCTCTCTTTCATTAAGATCATTTAAAAAAACTCTAAAAAAAACAAACATCAGAATTTTAATCTGTTAATCGATAACACCTAAAAGAAGTCTTTAAAGTCTCATTTATTTTGGATAATCCTTTACAATAATCTAATTTCGGATAATCCTTTACAATAATCCAATTTTGGATAATCCTTTACAATAATCTAATTTTGGATAATCCTTTACAATAATCTAATTTTGGATATTCCAATAATCTAATTTTGGATATTCCAATAATCTAATTTTGGATATTCCAATAATCTAATTTTGGATATTCCAATAATCTAAACACATCTTAAAGGTCGTCTTCTCTAAATACTATGGAATTTATCTTCGTCTGCCTGTACTCTGTATGAATGTTGTCAAATGAACATTATCAGAAATAGGAACATTTGTGTTTATTGTTATTCTTAAATGTTTGATCTCTATATTCAATGTTGGTACTTTCATATTTGAGTATTGGTGTTTGATCCTTTGATTAAAGTTATCTCAGCATGATGTCTGTCACGGTATCGACGAGGAATTTAATTAATTCGCAGATCTACATAAGATGGAAATTATTTCTTAATTCCGACTTTTGTGCTGTTTAGATATAAAAAAAACTACTGGTGGTTTTCATTGTTGCTACGGCAAAGGTTAAAAGGGTACGAATATTATAAAGAACTCTCTAGTGTTACTTAAAATTTATTTACAGACCCTTTAATTTGCATCTGTTTACCTGAACTAATATGTAGACCTCCCATTCCAGAACTTATACCTCCACCCATAGATACCAAACCACCTTAGAATATTCTTAGTTATAATAATAATAATAATAATGATAATGATAAAAATACCTGTATATGAGCTTGGTATTCCAAGATGATCTAGTCCTGGACTCATCCCAACCCTGCTCACTGGCAGCTCATAACCGGACATTCTTCAACAAGTGCAATTGCTTCCTATAGTTATGAGCAATTGTTATGTGCGCCTTTGTAGGCAATTGCTTCAGGCAAAAATATGGGTAATGACTTCATGCACACAGTTTGGTTATGCCCCCTGACATGTGCAAGTTGCTTCATGCAAAGATGCTCCCAACTTTTTTGCACACAGCAAAGTGTATTTTTGCACACAGCAAAGTGTATTTTTTCCTGTTTGCCGGCACAATTTACTTCCAGTATAATATTTTTCGACGCTATTTCTTTTCTCCTCAACAACCTTTTGAAAATCTTGTCTCTGAAACATAAAAGATTGTTTTTTAAAAAATACATATTTTTATTTTTTGCATATATTAAAAGTACAACTTTTAAGCCCTCTAATTATAAATATATAATTATGTCGAAGTTATAAGTTTTGAGAAGAACGTCTTCCTTTTAAATCTGTCGATTAATTTTTTTATTTGGCATTTTAATATTTCATCATTCTGATAAATTTCAATTCCACAGTTTTTAGTAGATTAATAAAGTTATTGGCAAAATTTCATATGTCAACTCCTTTTTATCTTAATTTTATTATTAATTGTTATTTATTAAATAGTTCGAGACTTCCAAAGAAGTAATTTGACATATTTTAAATAAACCTTCGCAAATATATTCCTAATGAACAGATACTTTATTTATATTCGCTCTTTATTTAAAAATGAACTCATAAAGATCAAAAAAATGTTATTGATCTAATAAATGGAGTGTAAACGTAATATTAAATCCTAGAGGAGCGTTTTCAATTTACAACGATACTCTTAAAAGCTTTGTCTGATCAAGAATAAATTTTCTTTATTTCTCTTTGAAATTTTTGAAATTTTTTTTTATTTTAATTTCCACGTTAAACTAACTTGCGGATTACGTGCTCCAGAAACAATGGAAAATATTGTTAGAATTAAACATATATTTAAGCTAGTAAGAAAAGACCGTTATAGATTAGAAAATAGTTTATAGGGTTGTGAATCGGACATGCCAATTCGAAAATGAAGGGTCACTTGAAAAAAAAAGCACGAAAGTCCCTTCTATTAAATTTATTTACTCAGACAAATAACTTCGACTGCTTTAGTACAAAAATAGCGTTCAAATTCCAACCCTTCTAATTGTCGGCTGTACAATGTACTGTTTACAGATATTGTATATATACTGTATCTCTATGTATATAAAGTAGTATTCTTTGTTCGTCTGCTTGTATATGTCCGATTATAAATCATAAACCCCTTCACAAATTTACCTACAATTGTGGTAGGGAAGCGAAGCTCAAAATTACTTAGATAAGTGAGTTAACTTTTCTAGCGAAAATTTATTTTCCAGGGAAAGCTGGGATCCCAAACTAGTATTGTATATTATCCAGGGAAAGCTGGGATCCCAAACTAGTATTGTATATTATCCAGGGAAAGCTGGGATCCCACAAATAATTAATTTAATTATTTATTTTCCCTTCATTAATACTTCAATAGAAATATCAATTAAAAACTTATAGTTTAGGTCGGTTCAACTATCTATCTATCTTTATATCTATACATCTATTTATCTATCTATCTATATATATAAATACATTGTTCAAAGAATTGTAACTACTGAGGATCGTCATGATAGACGTGAAACATTATGTTTAGTATAATTCTTTATTTAATAAAAATGTGAAGTTAAAAACTGACTAACTAACAGCTAGCTAGCTAGCTTTCTATCTATTGAAATGGCTAAACTCTATCTATCTATCTATCACTCTATCTATCTATCTATTTATTTATCTATAAGTAAATATCTATCTATCTTCTATTGAAAAGGCTAAATTCTATCTATTAGTATTAATCTTGCTCTGGTTGTTTATTTGGTTGTCTGATCATACGGGTCACGAACCTCTTGACCGATTTGCATCAAATTTAGATTGGGAAATTTACGTTTTAAGGCAAATCCGGTGGTCCCAAGCTAGAAATGTAATAAAATCAGCTTTATAAAGATAACAATTTTGCTACAAAATGATTGATGATTATAGCAAAATCTCTCAAACCCCTTGATAGTGCCTTTTATTATCAACATTTTTTATTTTTCTTTTAAAGACTCTTTTTTTAAAAATTCCATAAAAATCAAAATGTTTGGCAGAATTACTTGGACGACATTTATGCCTCGTAACTCCATTAGTTTTGTTTCTGCACCCGACAATAAATAATTAGTTTTTGTTCATAGTTGCATTATTATTCCATTTTTGTTATCATTACCTTCTCTTCAGAGTAGAAGTTGCATTTGGAATATGAAAGATTTCAAACTTAAATGAAATTAACTTGATTCTGAACAGCGGTTCTCTTAAAGCCTTCGTCTGAGAAGAAATGACGAAATAATCTTAATTTTTTATCTGAAACCTGCAATTTTTCAATTGCAGTATTCCTTTTAAAAGTGACTCGGGAATTTTTCCCGCTAAAAAAAGAAAATTGACAGAATTCCCGACGGTTAAAGCTAGAAAACGACGATATCATCCTCATTGGTGCTCAGATAAAGGTGTAAAAGCTACCGTTGTGAATAGGTCATGCAACTTTTTAATTGGGAGGGTCCCCTCACATTATTTTGACAATTTGGTATTGTTACCTAAGGTTTCTTTCTGTGCCTATAGCTGCAGGTGTGAAGAGTCTATATATATAATATAAATAGGAATCTTGAACCAAACACACTCCAGGATACCGTCCGCTCTCTTCAACCGCCAAATATATACTGATCAACTCAGAAATATATTTATTTATCATATATTGGAATATTATACAATATATACATGATCATATGAATAAGTTAATTAAGTATAATTCCAGTTTTAAAACTAAAATGGCATATGTACGGAAGTCATTATTATCAATGTTTGATCCCTCATTACATTTTTTTTTACTTTTTGAAATGCATAAAATAATGAAGATATAAAAGTGAAGAGTATATTATTATCTAAACTATTAAACCACTAGCTTAACCTTAATCAAACTCATTGAACACGTTTCCTTCCAACAATGTAACACCTTTAAAATCGCGGTTGAATAGTTTTCTCCCTCTCATAAAGGTTTACATTATTAGGTTGCAAAGATAAAGGGATTAGAAAATTTCAGTTTGTGGCAAAGACTCAATTTCTTTGATATATAAGATATTGTTACATATTTGCAGATTCTCTTTCTCTTATTGGTGCTAGGAGGTTTTGCTCACTCATCATATTTGCAAATATTTTTGCAATCACTTTGACTACTAGATTTATATAGCAAGATTCTTAGTTAAAAAAAATAAAGGTCTGCAGCATCAGTTTTGCAAGATTTAAGGTTTAGGCGAGTAATAATTTAATAATTTACGAAAATCAATCTTTTCGATTTGTGAGTATCTACCGGCCGTGATCTACACATGAGGCCATGTCAGGTCTCACACATAATTGGTTCGGCCGCTCCTACGTTTATTGTGAACAAATCAAAGCTAAAATTGCTTTTTTGAAATAATCAAGATCTATAAGTGTAATATTTATTATAAAATTAATCAATAAAATCGTTAAAATGAGATAAATTCACGAAATTGTATTTGTGCAATTGTTTTACACACACCAAAAATATGTTAGATCAACTGGTATAAAGCGCTCTTTGAAGTCTAGTTGATTGTACATTAAGAAAATGAAGCTCAGAACGGTTTATTAAAAAACTTCATGAATAAACTCAAGATTAACATTCTTTGTGTATTTTTTATAATGATAAAAGAAAACGTCAATTTAGACTGAATCCCCTCGACCCTTATTGTGATATATCGCTTAATGAGCCAATATTATAAAAACTGAACTGAAAAGGAATGTAAAAACATTTGTTGGCGGGAAGGGAGTATAAGAAAAAGAGTAAGAAGGGTGTAAAGAAGGAACAAGAAAAATATTAAGAAGGGTAGAAGGAGTAAGCAAATTAGTAAGAAGAGTGTAAAATAAAAGTAAGAAAAAGAGTAAGAAGAGTGTACAGAAGGGAAAAGAAAAAGAGTAAGAAGGGTGTAAAGAAGGAGTAAAAGAAAGAGTAAGAAGGGTAGAAGGAGTAAATGAATTAGTAAGAAAAGTGTAAAGAAGAAAAAAGAAAAAGAGTAAGAAGGGTGTAAAGAAGGAGTAAGAAAAAGAGTAAGAAGGGTGTAAAAAAGGAGTTAGAAAAAGAGTAAGAAGGGTGTAAAGAAGGAGTAAAAAAAGCAAGAAGGGTGTAAAGAAGGAGTTAGAAAAAGAGTAAGAAGGGTGTAAAGAAGGAGTTAGAAAAAGAGTAAGAAGGGTGTAAAGAAGGAGTTAGAAAAAGAGTAAGAAGGGTATAAAGTAAGGGAAAGTAGTAAGAAAAGAAGAGAGGAGGTGAGAAAAGAAGAAATAAGGAAGAAAGTAAGGAAAAAAGAAAGAATGGGAGTAAGGAATGAAGTAAACTTAGGAGCAAGGAAGGGAATAAGGAAGCGAGGAAGGGAGGAAATAAGAAAAGAAGAAAGAAAAGGAGTAATACAAGGGGTAAGAAGAGGGGTAAACGTAGGAGTAAGGAAGTGAGTAAGGAAAAAAGAAAGCTTAAGAGAGTAAGAAAGAGAGTAAGAAAAGGAAAAAGAGCGTAAGGTGAAGAGGAGCTAAACGATGGATTGCTGAGGTGGATCTAAAGGATGGATTGCTGAGGTGGATCTAAAGGATGGATTGCTAAGGTGGATCTAAAGGATGGATTGCTAAGGTGGATCGAAAGGATGGATTGCTAAGATGGATTAATGAATGAATGAATGAATATAAAGTAACTTCTAGCTAAAGCTGAAGCTGAAGCTAGCTAAACGCTGAATCATTCTCTTTTCAACAGATTTGGAAGAGTCATTCAAGGTAACGGCCAGTTCACGCGGGGCTTATACCATACACTACACTACACTATACCTAGTACAGGGGCTTATACCATACACTACACTACACTATACCTAGTACAGGGGCTTATACCATACACTACACTATTTCTAGTACAGGGGGCTTATACCATACACTACACTACACTATACCTAGTACAGGGGGCTTATACCATACACTACACTACACTATACCTAGTACAGGGGGCTTATACCATACACTACACTACACTTTACCTAGTACAGGGGCTTATACCATACACTACACTACACTAAACCTAGTACAGGGGCTTATACCATACACTACACTACACTATACCTAGTACAGGGGCTTATACCATACACTACACTACACTATACCTAGTACAGGGGCTTATACCATACACTACACTACACTATATCTAGTACAGGGGGCTTAAACCATACACTACACTATACCTAGTACAGGGGCTTATACCATACACTACACTACACTATGCCTAGTACAGGGGCTTATACGATACACTACAATACACTATACCTAGTACAGGGGCTTATACCATACACTACACTATTTCTAGTACAGGGGGCTTATACCATACACTACACTACACTATACCTAGTACAGGGGGCTTATACCATACACTACACTACACTATACCTAGTACAGGGGGCTTATACCATACACTACACTACACTTTACCTAGTACAGGGGGCTTATACCATACACTACACTACACTATACCTAGTACAGGGGGCTTATACCATACACTACACTACACTTTACCTAGTACAGGGGCTTATACCATACACTACACTACACTAAACCTAGTACAGGGGCTTATACCATACACTACACTACACTAAACCTAGTACAGGGGCTTATATTATACACTACACTACACTATACCTAGTACAGGGGCTTATACCATACACTACACTACACTATACCGAGAACAGGGGCTTATACCATACACTACACTACACCTAGTACAGGAACTTATACCATACACTACACTACACTAAACCTAGTACAGGGGCTTATACCATACACTACACTACACTATACCTAGTACAGGGGCTTATACCATACACTATACACTACACCTAGTACAGGAACTTATACCATACACTACACTACACTAAACCTAGTACAGCCAACACTACACTAAACTTTAGAACCATAAAGCAGGAGAAATCGTCGTCTCCTTTTCTAAAATTTGAAACTAAATTATTTCTAAAAGAATCCATTAATAAAAGTAAGAAAGCAGAAGATATTAATTCCATTTTAGAAATGAGTGTAAACTGAGTATCTCTTTCAATTATTTATGATATTTTCTTCATAGTTAGATTTATTTAAAGTAATCTGTTCACAATATTTGTTTCGCGTTTGATACTTTTTTACTTTGTTACTCTTTATCTTCCATTTAGTAAGTGTACGATGGGTAATTTTAAATTTAGTTTTGAAAGGGGGTTTAGATGTTTTAGGCATAGGAACTACATCTATAATTTTATTTATTGTGTGATTTAAAAAGGAAACTTTGCGTTTTTATAATAAAAAGTATACAACTAACAGTTCTGAATTAATATTTTACTGAACTTATTTGAGGTGTTTTTAACGCTTTTTAAAGCTTCTTTATGAACAGTTGTTGGTCGTTTTATATCTTAATATTAATCTACCGCTCATCTTTCAAACCGAATTCGTATAATATCTGAAATGAAAACTTTAGAATGAAATGTCCTTTATCCCAATCGGTTAATTAATCCGGAGATTAATTAAAAGAGGAGAACAAGCATTATTTAATCTCGAGATAAAGAAAAAGAGTGTAATCCCAATATCCACCATTCAAAAGTTCCCAGCTCTGGTCATTTATTAGAGCCGGAAGATAGGAATAGATAGATACACATGTGTACACTATAAGGTACAAGTAAAGTCTAAGATCTGGTTTTAGTTTAGTTTATGCAGATAATATATTTCTGATTAATTAAATGCAAAGTAAGTCATAGAATAATTCTACTGCTGACCACACCACTGACCCATCTAAAATGCGTACCCTCTTCCCCCAAGTATGTCAGCTAAATTTTTCATTTATTTTTTAACAAGCTTTCGCGTGTGAAAGCAAGCATTGACCTTGTAGTCCTGAGTTTCAGGGTAGTCGAGGACATATAAACATGTCCTCTGCAAATATTGAACTCCAAATTTTGTTGAAAACAGGACAATACATATCAATTATATTTGATGGAAAATGTGCAGATGCGTTTAAGATGCTTTGGAAAATTGTCCTGCATGTGCATTGTACAACCTGGGCATTGTTATTTTTCGTGTTTTTTAAAGATATTCTAGGTTTTTTGGGCTATCTTATCACTTCTTATGCAAATTTTAACTCTGACAGTACGTATGAATGAAGAAAAACGATTGTGTAAAAAATTGGCAAGGCTTGTATTTTTTTTGCGAAAAGCATGATTTTGCATGGTTTGATAAAAGCAATTACTTTTAGAGAATACAATTTTATAATATGTTAAAGTTCTCACACTGTCGCTTAAGTCTAAAATTTGGGAGAACAAACAAACTTCAGTGATATTTTAGGATGAGCAGTCAAGTATTATAAAATATTTCAGTGAAATTCATAAAAATATGGAATGTTTAATGTTTGACAACTGGAGAAATTTAAATTTAAAAAAATACATATTAATAAATAAAAAAGTTGTAGAATTTTATGTTTCAGGATTCAGGACATTAAAACACTTTTGTCCTTAAAATACTATTGAAAAAAAACCTAGCATTTTTATCTTAATATCAAATATTGAGTTGTTGTACCCTTCTTACAAATAAATAATTTTTCCTTCCTTTATGTTTAAAATTTATTTATAGGTTTTGTTAAAGTAAGAAAGTAAACATTTTCCTTAACAAGTTTTTAATATATTTGTTTCTGTAAATTTTTGCTTTGACCTTCGATTCTAACTAATGATGGTCATCGCTCTCCCTTTCAAAGTATCAGAAAAAATATTAAATTGAAAAAAAAACTTGGAAAACTACAGATTAGAACCTCGTAAAGTGAACCTGCAGCACTAGGATACTGAGCCCCGATTTCTATAATCAAATTTGTTGATTTAAATATTTAATCTGGAGACTAACATAATCTCGAAATTAGCACAAAGAGTGGATTAAGCATTAATCTCGATATCCACCATTCTAAAGTTCCCAGCTCAGCTTAAACTTATAAATCTTGGATTTGTCGCATTACTTTTCTGATTTTTAGATAACTTTTTAAAATTGTGAGACGTTTCTCACCGTCGTCTTCGTAGATTATTTATCAGAATTTTGATGGATTTACGAATGTATGTAAATAAAAACGTTTTTGTACTTCAACCCCTTTCAAGCTTAAAGGGAGTGTTCGCGAAAAATGAAAGGGGGTATAGGCTTAATGCGATAAAAAAGCGCTTTTGATCGCTTCTAATCTTACTTCTATCTGTTGCGTCTATAAGGAGAGAATTGTTAAAAGCGACAAATACCGAAGAGCGTAGCGCCCATACAAATTCAGAAAGATGCAACATACGACTTAGACCGTAAAAAAATCTATTTAATTTCAAACAAATCTTTCAGATATTACAACCTATAGTCATCGATTATCTTTCGCCACATTTGTATATAGTTGATTTTTCATAATATGTTTTAATTGTTATGATCTGAGAGTTACTTATTTAATCCTGTTTCGAGGATTTTTGTTAATGAAGACGACATTTTCATATTTTCCAGGAATGTTCGAAAACAAGAATTGTAAGCTAAATATTATTTAAAAAAACAAAATCAAAACTAGTATGAAATATCAAATGTATACAAATGTGGCGAAAGATAATCGATGACTATAGGTTGTAATATCTGAATGATTTGTTTGATATTAATTTGATTTTTTTACGTTCTAAGTCGTATGTTTCAACTTCCTCAATTTGTATGAACGCTACGCTCTTCGGTATGAGACGTCTTTATCAATTTTCTCCTTATAGACGCAACAGATAGAAGTAAGATTAGTAGCGATCAAAAGCGCTTTTTTATCGCATTATAAGCCTATACCCCCTTTCATTTTTCGCGAACACTCCCTTTAAGAGTTAAAATAAACAAAAGGTAAAAATGCTCCAGACTTGAAATTCAAAAATAGTATTATAATCTTGTTTCACGAGACTTGAGAAGTTGTTTAATATATTGGCAAGAAAATTTCAAATTTGTTCACAAAAAAAGATGTAGTATTGATCAATTTCAATTAGCAACGTTAAGTTACAACACATTTTAAAGAAAACATGAAAATAGTATTTATTTATGAAGCATGATATTAAAAGTTGGCGAAGATATTAACAAAATTTACCCGATTCAAAGGAATTGACACAAATTCAAATTGTCTAATCCTCATAAATCTACAACCTGATGGTGTAAACCTTTGATTTTTCAAACTTAAACTATATTTAATCTAACAGAATTTACAATTTAAAATATATACGGTCTACAGCATTGGGTTACGTAGAAATAGGGATTAGAAAATTGGAGTTTGTGGCAAAGAATCAATTCCAAATTTATTAAATAAATCAATACATAAAAAGTTAGTATGTTCGATCATAACTCAGGAACCCCTTGACCGATTTGCCTCAAACTTTGATTAGGGAACCACGGAAACACGCTAAGCTTGGTTTAGAGGTTCAAGATTAAGTATTGGTTTACTTTTATTTACCGAAAGTTTATTGTCCATGCAAAGCTGAGTATCTTATATTTATTCATATTTTCAGTTAAAAAATATGAGGTTTGTGGAGGATGAGGATGAAGGAGGACCTGGAGTAAATGGAACCTCGACCAGGAATGAAGACGACGACGAGGAGGAGGAGGAGGAGGAGGAGGAACCTGAACCTGTCTCAGCTACCTTGGTACATTGCAATACATTGCGTACTATATTATAGACATTAAAGATATGATGACGTTTAAATCTTCTTTGCTCTAAGAAAAATAATGTATGAAAAATAAATCGATTGTATGACTTTCCAAAATGTGGTGAAACGTATAAATAATTTTGATTATGAAAGTGCTCTCTTGATATATTTGTAAAATCTAAACTTTTCTTGTTTTTTTTTAATTAAAAACATTTTTAAGATCAAATTAATTGTTTAAAGAGTGAATTCAAACTTAAGAAATGTATATTTAGTTCAAGTATAGTCAATATTAAAGTTACATTCTTAAGTACAAAACAGGATTAGAAGAATCATTTTATTGTGTAATATTAACATGGAACAGATGACAGCTGATTATAAATTTTCAAATGACAGAAAACAGATGCCAACAAGTTAAGGAGATGAAAATTTTACTGAAATACTTTAAAATCATTAGTGTTTTGTCAAACACAAATATTTTTAATTTTCAACATTTTTCTCTGATCCGATGAAATATTTTCCATTAATTAAAATACTTCAGACAAGTGTATAAGCACCAAAGGGACTGTAAGCGTAATTTTAGATTACCCTTCATGTAAAGAAAGCACTGCCCAATCTACATCGGCAACCTCAAAACCTGAATCTGATAACAAATGTGAAAGATAACGTCACTTTTCTCACTCAAGTGTTAAATTTTTGTGAATATCTCCATTAGTTCTTAAAAGAAAGACGTGCTTAAGTCACAAATTTAAAGAGAAGCCGCAAATGAAAATAAACAGTTTAAAGAAACTTAAAAAACTTAAAAGAATTTTAAGATTCCTAACAATTGACTTTTTGCTCATGGACGGCACGATGTTCGATTTTGCAACATTTACTTTTTAAATTATGATCAACATTTGATTTATAGTAAGGGTGCCAAAAAAATCACAACATCCCCCAAGAATTCAGTCCAGAAGAATCTTGTTATTTTTATTTTATTTCAAACAGAACAAATCTAATGATAGTTGTCTGTTCTGTAGAACACTACAGAATTCTACAAAAGCTTTGGCCAAATGCCTTTGTCAATTTTCAATGATAAAAAATGAAAACATCTCCGTCATCATTTTATAGATAAAGTTTCATATTCTAAGAAGAAACTATAATGTTCCTTTTTGCAATTAAAGTTTATATATACTAGGTTCTACGAGTTCTTAGTGAATCCACTTCTCCATCTGTATCCCGTAAATCCAGCACTAGACGGAACCATGCGCCAGGGTTTCTAGAGGCAGAGGATCATGTTGAAACCTTTCTCCAGGTATAGAAGTAGTACTAGACTGAACCATGGTCCTGGGTTCCTAGAGGAAGAGATTATGTTAAAACCTTTCTCCAGGTATAGAAGTAGTACTAGAGGAAACCATGCGCATAGGTTTCTAGAGGCAGAGAATCATGTTGAAACATTTCTCCAGGTATAGAAGCAGTACTAGGTGGAACCATGCTCCAGGGTTCATAGAGCCAGAGAATTATTTTGAAACCTTTATCCAGGTATAAGAGTAGTACTAGACGGAACCATGCTCCAGGGTTCATAGAGCCAGAGAATTATGTTGAAACCTTTATCCAGGTGTAAGAGTAGTACTAGACGGAACCATGATCCAAGGTTTCTAGATGCAGAGTATCATGTTGAAACCTTTCTCCAGGTATAGAACCACTACTATAAGGAACCATGCTCCAGGGTTCATAGAGGCAGAGAATTATGTTGAAACCTTTCTCCAGGTATAGAAGCAGTACTAGACCATGCTCCAGGGTTTTCTAGAGGCGGAGGATCATGTTGAAACTTTTCTCCAGGTTTAGAATTAGTACTAGACGGAACCATGCTACTGGGATTCTAGAGGCAGAGGATTATGTTGAAACATTTTTCAAGGTATAGATGTAGTACTGAACAGAACCATGCTCCAGGGTTTTCTAGAGGCGGAGGATCATGTTGAAACATTTCTTAAGGTATAGAAGCAGTACTAGACGGAACCATGCTCCAGGGTTTCTAGAGGCTGAAGATCGTGTTGAAACATTTCTCCAGGTATAGGCTTATGGAGTAGCATTAGACGGAACCATGCTCCATGGTTTCTAGATACAGAGGACCATGTTAAAACCTGTCTCCAGGTAAAGGTTTATAAGTAGCATTAGATGAACAATGGTTGCTTTAAACTGAGTATCAGATTGAAATCTTTCTTCAGGCGTAAGTTTAGAAATAAAATAAGATGAACAATGGTTATATTAAACTGAATTTCAGGTTTAAACCTTTCTCTAGGTTTAGGTTTAGATGTAGTATTAAACGAACCATGCTGAGTAATAGTTTTAAACATGGCAGAAATATACTACAGCAGCTTAAACATTAACTTATTAAATAAAATGGGTCTGTGTTAATTGCACAACTATTTGCACAATTTTTCATCTTTTGTAACCTAACATATTTTATGGTTTATATTTTTCTATAAACAAATTGACGAGAAATTTCATTTCAGGTTCAAGTCCAGAAATCTACCTCTTCTTCTTCATTATCAGGTATATTTCTGAATACTGATCATCTTCATCATCTTCATCATCTTCATCATCTTCATCATCTTCATCATCTTCATCATCTTCATCATCTTCATCATCTTCATCATCTTTTCATCATCTTCATCATCTTCATCATCTTCATCATCTTCATTATCTTCATCATCTTCATCATCTTCATCATCTTTATCATATTTATCATCTTTATCATCTTCCTCATCTTCAGCATATTCATAATCTTCATGATTTTAATCATCTTCGTGACTTTCAAGATCTTCATAATTTTCATGATCTTCATAATTTTCATGATTTTCATAATCTTTGTGATTTTAATGATCTTCGTGCTTTCTAAATCTTCATTTTTTAATTAATTAGGTCGAGGACAGTCTATGAATAGGTCTCGACCTCCAAGCATATCCCGACCTCCTAGCGCAACTCCATCTTTTTACGTCACAGAACCAGAGAGTTCATTTCCTCTCTCATTAAGGAAACTTCATTGGATAAAAAAATAACAATTTTCTACTTTTTAAAATGGTTTCTCAAAATTATGTTTCAAATTAGCTTTCACGTGTAGAGTTCAAATCAATTTCAATGTAGATACAAAAACTTGTTTTGTTATGATAGAGCATATTGTAACTTGTAAGGCACGTGGCATGTTTGTTTTTTTCAAGATTTTTCCAATTACTTCCTTTAAAGGGAAGCTTTAATTATAGTTTATAAACAGTTTACGTTTGGTCAAGGCGTTGCAAAACTTTAATGTCAACAAGGCATTAAAATGAAGCCCTATATCCATTTCTTGTTCTTGCAAAAATTAGTGTTTAAACTCCAGTTAAAATCCAAAAGACCTCTGTAGGGAGCAGTCTGGATACAGAGATTTTGAAAGGGAGTACAGGGAAACAGGACGGGAGTACAGGGAGAGTGGAAGGGAGTACAGGGAGAGTGGAAGGGAGTACCGTGTGTCCAGGGATACAAGTAGAGAGTCCTCTCTAAGTCCTACTCCTTCACTGTATGGATCCCAGTCCTTAGAAACATACAGAAATAAGTAAGTAATTATTAATTAGTGTTAATGGCATAAAAAGAATAATATTGCATACTTTTTTATACATCTTGCATAAAAGATAAGCTACTTATCAGGCTTGAGGTTTAACCAAAGTAATTATAATTGGAATTATTATTATTATTATTGCTACTATTCTTATTATTATTATTAAATCAAAATTCGATCTTCATTAAATTTTTAAAAATTTTGAAAATCCACGAAAATTTTTTGTGAAAATCCGCGAATTATTTTTGTTTTGTTTTACGATGTACACAAAGAGAACATGTTGACATTAATTTAGAAGATGGGCGCGAAGCGCCCTACAAGGCCAGTTACAATAAACAATATATACATAAACAATGATAATTTCAAATTGAGGGTTTTTATAAAGTGATATTAAGTGAATTTAAGCAACAAAGACAAATTCAACCTTTTTACGGTGGAATATCTTACCAATTGTTACTCAGATTAAGATTTGTATCTTACCTCAGGCATTCCAATCTTTAAACAAGGGATCACTTGAAATTACGTACACAGTCCCTAAATCAAATTATAAATGTTATGTTGGCTCTCTGTTTTCATGCAGTCATCAACATTTGTACTTTACAGAAAATAACAACTTCGCAACAAACTATAAACTAGAGAAACAAATTTCTGATCAGTCATTCAAAAACATGAAGGATTGCTTAAAATACTTTTACTACAAAATGTAAAAAAAGGATAAAGTAATATTTAAAGCGTAAAAATGGCAGCTATCTGTCTGGGTACAGTAATACCCGGAAAGGACGGGGAAAAGGACGGGGAAAAGAACGGGAAAAAGGACGGGGAAAAGGACTGGGAAAAGAACGGGAAAAAGGACGGGGAAAAGGACTGGGAAAATTAAACAATCTAAAGCNTTAGCAAAAGAAATACCACAAATAATAAAATAAACTGTAAAAATGTAGAATAAAAGAGTATAATAGACATGCTTAAAACAAGATGCAGTAGGTTTTTATACATAAGTTGAATAAAAAATCTTGTAATCTTATACAGTGAACTGCGTTAAATAAACTATAAATCTTATAGAATGTATTTAGACTCCGTTAAAAGTCCTATTTAATAACTTGAGTCTAACAGTCGTCTTCCTATTTAATAACTTGAGTATAACAGTCGTCTTTCTATACAATAGTATTACAGGTCTCAATTTATCAAACTCTTCAGAGTGACTTTGAATCGACTCTAATTTCAGCTAATTATGATTATTATTTATCAAATTATAAATTACCTTTAATGACGTGATGAATTTAGATTGCTGGATGTCGGGCAGGAAACGGTAGTTCTATCCGGGCTAAATAAGCAGGCTGGAGATAGTTTAAGACATATAAAGAACCTATACGATGAAACAAAGTACCTAAAAGCCTATCTAGAGAAGGTAGGATAAAGTTTAAGACACATAAAGAACCTATATGATGAAACACAGTGTACCTAAAATTGCGTATCTAAGGAAGGTAGGATACAGTTTAACCCTATCCCTGCTGAGGTATTTGAAAACCAAGGTACGCTGGGGGGTGGTGGTAAATTTAAACCCTTCCCCCTCTAAATTCCATTTTTGATGTCCAAGTATGACAAATGATACATCATTGAAAAGCTCTTATGCTCTGCTCTGCTTTCAGAATCTGAAATTTTTTTGCAAAATCCAGTTATGAAGTGAAAATGTTAGCAAAAGAAATACCACAAATAATAAAATAAACTGTAAAAATGTAGAATAAAAGAGTATAATAGACATGCTTAAAACAAGATGCAGTAGGTTTTTATACATAAGTTGAATAAAAAATCTTGTAATCTTATACAGTGAACTGCGTTAAATAAACTATAAATCTTATAGAATGTATTTAGACTCCGTTAAAAGCTTATTTAATCTTGAACAATGTAAATTGTACAAGATTAAAGATTATATAATCTTGAACAATGTAAATTGTACAAGATTAAAGATTATATAATCTTGAACAATGTAAATTGTACAAGATTAAAGATTATATAATCTTAAACAATTTGTACAAGCTGTACAGTGTTCAGTGTTCAGATGACCTGGTTCAATACATTGTGTACTGCAAATGGAATTGTAATTGTAAACTGCAGTACATTCTTCAGTGAACGGCTTATTTACCAATAATATGAAGACAACTTGTCCAACGAGATTTTAAAAAATTACAAGTTTACAAGAAAAAAAAGAGAAGCTGTAATTTAACAGCTTCTCTTTGTTTCTATATTCAAGTGTACTCCTGCTGAATGACAGCTTGGTAGCGATTACAAATTGAAATGGAAAGTCGTTTAAATTGTATTGATATATACATCAACAAATCATAACAGGGTCTTGTAATTTTGTAATCTGCATATAAAAATCTTGCGTATTATGCTTGGTGTACTGATAAAAGGTTTAGTAGCTTGTTAGTATACAAATTACAAGTGACAAAACCTTGATGTGTCTTGTACTGTAGATGACAGGGTTTAGTTCTATTGTACTTTGTACTGCAAATTATGTTTAGTTGGAGGCAAAGGCCCACTATGACATGGTTATGCGGCGGGCGGAGCGGCATCCGCCGCCTTGGTATAGGCGGATTCTCTTTATTTGTGGTTTAGGAGGGATCTCTATATACGCCTGGTACAAATTAGATCCACAGGTATAATACTTCAACCCAGTTTAACAGTTTAAAAGAGTCATGATCCGTGCCGGTACAACACGTAATTAATAAGCACTGACCAGTCAGGCTACCCAGTGTAGAGTAGACCTAGCTCGTTTATGCCTTGTAACCTTGCAATATTACGTACATTGATGTACACTGTACTGAGCTGGGAACTTTTGTGTTGGATACTCATAATCTCGATATCTACTGTGGGCACTTTTAATTTGAGGATCTATAAAAAGCTGTACCCTTCCATTTCTTCATTTAAGTTATTCAAACCCCTTGATCAAAGTTACCTTCAACACTTGACTGGGTATGACAACAATGCGGGATATCTAATAAAGATTAAATTAAACTGTTGATTAACAAAAGAACGAGATCAAACATTGAAATTGAAATCCACAATACTTGAGAATCCCAGCTCAGGTGGTATATAGTATATACTGTAAGTTAAACATCTAAACCCTGTCCATAATCCAGTATCCATCCTGGGATACTTTAAACCTTGTTCATAATCCAGTATCCATGCTGGGACACTTTAAACCCTGTCCATAATCCAGTATCCATGCTGGGATACTTTAAACCCTGTCCATAATCTAGTATCCATGCTGGGACACTTTAAACCCTGTCCATAATCTAGTATCCATGCTGGGATACCTTAAACTCGGCTCTACTTTCAGAGTCTCCTTTCAAACGTCTAATTAAATATAGCTAACAATATTTATACATTTTTAAAAAGTGACCTTGCCATTTTAAATATGAACAAATATTCTAAAAAGTTCAACGTTTCTAATAAAAAAATAATATGTTTCTATTAGATTAAAAAGATTAATTAAATTAAAAGATTTTGCACGAGATTTTCGAGTTTACAATAATTGTCAAACATATTTTGGTACGGTGATTATAAGGTTTTAACATTGGACCAGTCTATTGAGTAACTTTGTGTTTTTTATTGAAAAATGTTTGAAAAAATGTTCGTTCAGGGTTGTGAAAATCGTCTTCTTCAAATTGGAAATAGTTCTAGAAATGTTCTTCAGTTGGCCGGAGAATTCTTCACCAGATCTGAATCCATTCAACAAAATGTAATCATTAGTTAAATATATTTATAGTACATGTTATATTTATTCTTTATTCATCAATTCTAATAACATCCTGCTTACAAAAAAAAAACACTTTTGAAATACCGCCATCAAAACCAATTCAGTTTTATAAATACTTAATTTATGACTCAATTTAGACATTTAGCTACAGGGTTTCCCACAAAGGACGATTGTCCTGAATTTGTTTATTTCGTTTTCTTGCATTCAGGGTCCCTTGCAGGCCAAAACCAGCTTATTTTTGTGCTCAATCATTTATGAGACCAGCAAAATACTCATTTAATTGCAGAAACCAAAAATCAAGCTTCAAAAAAAATAGTTTTAGAGTTTTAGGTCGTCTTTACACAGGAGCGTAGTGGATGTTTAGTCAAGGGGGTGCAAAATTTTTGTGCACCCCCCTAACGGTTGATGTGTACCCCCCTAACGGTTGATGTGCACCCCCCTTATAAAACCCGTATTAGGGAAAAAAATTAAAGCTTAAAGTCTATATTAATCCACTATTCAATAATATACCAAATTATTAAAGTATTAATGGCTTGTTCTTGTGTTTAAAAAAATATATATACTTCAAACAGCTTAAAAATGTATACTGTCAACAGGTATATTAAACCCTGACCTGGATCTGGTTGAGTTATTTATTGAGACATGTGTAACTGTAATGTCCGATATTACAGTCTACAGCAGGTTTTTGAAATTCGTTTTCTAATCATATTTGTCCACTACATAGTCCCTTAATCGTAGGCCTGTGCAGTCCTATGTATTTCCTGGCAGTACTCGACTTTATTTCGTCTGTCCATAATCCATAATAGTAATTCTGATCGAAGTCCCTCTGTCAATGTTTGCCAGTAAGGTCTTATCCCTTTTTTCCTCTTACAGACTTTAAAAGTCCTGATAGTCCAATATAATCCTTATTATAATTCTTATTGTTATTTTTTTTAGATTGTCAGGTTTTGTTTAACCTTAAATGGTATATGTGTTGCAATACTCATTAGAAGTAATATATTAATATATACACTTTTTTAAATTAAGACTGACTTTCTTTAAGTCAAAAACAAGAAAATAGTTAGAAATTCTATTAGAAACGATGCGCGAGGCGCCTAGAAAAGTGGTATTTTTTCTTGATTGACAAAATTTGATGAAAGATGATGCACAATCATGATCATGCTTCGAAGCCAAGTGAGGGGGGGCAAGGGGGGCGAAATATGCTGAGGGGGGTCGAAACTCGGGGGGCCCCTAGTTGCGCCACTGTAGATTACACTGGAGACAGTGTTATTTGAAGCTGAATAAAACTCTGCGTGAATCATCTTGCTCTGAGAGACTGAAATGGATTTTAAATGAAACCCCGCAAAAAAAATATTGTAAACAAGATTAAGGTACAAGAAAGTTCATAAAATGGACAAATTGTGACATTGTCGATTGAAAAGAATAGTAAAAAATCTTAATAAATATGTAATTCTAATAAATTACAGCATCTAAGGGGGGCCTAGGGGGTGCATGTCTAGCTAGTGGGGGCACAGGGGAACCGGCCGGCCCCCCACTACGGCCCTGGTTACATTGCAAAGGAGTTTCTCTTTAAAAATTTTTGTTATAAAAATTCGATGAAAACTTAAACATTCAAAGGTTATTCAATCATTTTGTATTTTTTCATTTAAATCTTATGTATGCCTTATAAAATCTACTTTTAATTCAAACAATGTGCAATACTTGTGATATGTGAATTTCTTAAAGAATTAAGGATTGATTTAGAAATGAACCAAAATATTCTTGTAAAATCTACCAAACCAAACCAAACTTTGAGAAAGCCGCTAAATAAACTTACGTTTTCTTGTAGTTCAAAATATCAACGCTAGAGACCCCCATATACGTTTAAAGATATTAAGCAATTCTGGCAGTTATTTGATGCTGTGTCTTTAAGACATAAGTTTCATTATATTTTGATTATCATTCCCATGATTTTATGTTTTAAGTGCATCAGATATATGAATAGTAAATTCCTTGCGCAAACACTGATCAATATCCCTTTAAATATATTGACTAACATTCCCAGAATTAAGTAATGATTAAAAATATGGTTTTTTAAGTGGTATTTTTCTAGAGCCTTATAGAAGGCTGACTAAGCTTAAGGGCGAAAGTTATACGAAGCAACAACTTTTGTTTATTATCCTTATTTATACCTAAGCAAGGGCTAATTATAGCCTAGTACAGAGGGGAGGGGACACCGGAATTCGGTCCCCCAGAATTGATTAAATCTTAAGCTTTTCAGGCAGGCGCGTAGTGGAGGTTTAGCCTACACTGTAAAACTTTTCATTGTATATTTTATTCAATATTTTCTAGTCGCGCGATCAAAACAATAATATTGAATAAAATTTATAATTTTGAATACTAAATAGAATCCAATAGGATAGGAATAATTCCTATTTATTGAATATTTTTTTCAATACTTTGGAATAGAATACCTAAATAATCACGCGTTGACATTGCGAGTGATTTTTATACAACTGAATTAAATATATTATTCAAAATTTAAGAATACCACAAGCCGTGCGGCGATGATTCAACCTAGCGGCAAAATCTGGAAACAATATTTTACATATAATATTGAATTAAAAACTAGTTTATATTGTTTCTTTACAGCCAGAGACACCTGACGGGGGACTTTAATATTGTTTCTTGACAGCCAGAGACAACTGACAGGGGATTACGCAACATAAACATTAAATTATATTGAATAAATTATTCAACATTTTTGTAAATATTAAGAAATCATAACATTAAACTCTAAAAATATTCTCCTAAAATGAATAAAAAACTCGTTAATTGGGAATTAATAACAAAATATTTCAAAAATATTTATTTATTTAATAATATAAAATACATAAACAAAAACAGAATTATTCAGGTGCTCCCTACCCTCCCCTTCCCTCCCTTCCCATCTCTCCCATCCCATACCTCCCTTCCTATCTCATCCCTCCCTTCCTATC